TACATTAATGGTCAATTTAAATCAACATTGATGTTGATATCTTACCCTTGAAAAGTTGGGTTTCTGATATCCAACATTTGTATGAAGCGACGTGATGAACGAGGCTAACCATATCCCATGTAGGAGAATACTACCAGCGTAGACTGGAATAACCAGATGCCAAAGACTGCCATTCAATTCGGACTCGTCGCTTATTTCGCCTAACATAAGTGATTAGAAATTACAGTAAAACAAAAACGATTGAATGTAAATCAGTTTATATACATTCATATTACATTATTATAAGTGATGTGACCCATTTGTGTCCATTTCCAGGTGCCAAAGAATAGCGATTTATCTCCTTTAAATATAATATTACATTATTTCATGGCATTATCTTTTTTTTACAAGAATCTATTATTGAAGAAGAAAACGTATACTCAACAAAAGAACTGTATAATCAGTACATTGCAAATCTGTTTTCGGAGGATAGCAGCAAAGATAATAATATATTTGGTGATTTTACTATTTTCAATTTTGAAAGGAAGATAGTGAATTACTTTGAATCAGAGAAATTGACATTATTATCATCAAATACTAAAGGAAATGTCATTTATAACAATAGAATGAATGTTGAGGAGGCCATTAAAGAGGTGTTCTCAGAAAATCATCGATAAATGCAAAGATTTGTGACATAGCACTATAAACCTCAAAATGCCTCGTTCGGCATTTTCGTCCAAACGTGGCAAAAACGTGCTAATAAAATTTTTGCCACAATTTTGCCACGTTGTAACGTGGTAAAAACAAAATGCCACGTTTGTCTGGAGTTCCAAAACGTATTTTTTTTTTTAATTGCTATGTTTTTGGAACGAGGTATTTTGACCAGAACGAGGCTGTTCACAAGGTTGGATACATGATTTTTCAAAAGGGTTGGGGGTGGGGTTCAGCCAAACCAAACATGTTGTTCCTGTTTTTATATAATAAACGACGGGTTTAAGATGAAAACGTATCATGTATATAGAGTTAGTTGCTCGGTCCAAAGATGCCATGTACAATGTTTTGTGTGGCAAAATTAAACCGTCCAAACATTTGACTCTTGTAATGGCGATGAAGAGTATAACAGGAAGCCGAAGAAAAGTAATTGATATTTTAATTTTAAATCGTTATGGACACTGTATTAGTTACAACGGCATTGAAGAACTGGAGACGAATTAACATACAGTTCACAGGAAGAACAGGGTATGGTTCCACAGATATCATTGGTTATTTGGTTACCTGTACTGAAACAACTGACAATTATAACCAGCTTCCTGTTTGTCGGACAAGATGGTCATTTACTCCAATCCTTTTAAATCTGGAACCATATAGGAAGAAGCTTAGTATGACTAACAGTGGATTTATCACAGAAGATCTATTATTCCTAGTAGTTGTGCAGATGGCAAGATTTTGGATGTCACATGGATGATATCACATGCATTAGAAACTACTAATACACAAATGTGGGTAGGATGGAATTCACTTGTGGTAAAAAATAACCTTCCTCAACAACAAATATGTTATCGTCCTTAAATCAATCAAACTCCAACCTCCCTCGATTTTGTTTTGGAAACAATGAAGAGATTCCAACAGAATGGTGACGAGTTTGGTTAGGAAAACATGATAGTGATATATGACTTGGCTATTGCAAAGATGGCATATACAATTCAGACTGCAGAAAGTCCTTTATTTTACAACCTCTTCATAATGGTAGATAGTGCTTTTGAACAACCAGTTTGTTGGATATTCAGTGCTTTATAAATAGATTATTATTATTATCAAAGACATATTTCAAAACTGTTGGGAAGCATATTGGAGAATCTGAAGGACCATTCGTAATTGAGGGAAGCTGGGATAATAGCTGATGGTTCTCTTACTTGATTTTTAGCAGGTACCCACTATAATCGATGTAAACGCATCCACCCTTTGCTAGCTTTATCTTTGGAGGTATTACATTTCAGACAGTTTTGTGAACCAAATTCTTCAACAGCTTCAATGTTTCCAAAGAAATGAATGAAATAATTGATTATGCACAAAAGACACTGGCCAGTGAACATGGGAAAACAGCCAATTCGAATATTTTACCTTTTTTCACAAGGTATTGATGTTGGTAACAACTTATTTACATACTGCCGCTTTGAAATGTCAAGTTTATTCTTCAGTTTATATCAGCCAAACTATGCCAGATGGATTCTCTGGTTGCAACACATCCTGGAAGATCTGACAAATTCCAAAGAGGTGTCCTTCCCATACGTAGAACAGACAGTTAATGCAGATGCTGCTAATTGTTTTTCAGGTATTAGTATCATCATAGAAATTCCATAGCAGCTAGACAGAGATGGTCCATATCTCAATAAATTATATGAGGGCAACTATAGTTGGAGTTTGAACATTTAGACATTTCCAGACCTAAAGATGTAACTTCTGAATTGAGACAAGCTCATATTCAGAAGAAAACAGCACATCGCATCGAAATTACTGAAAGAATTGTAAACATGTCTTATCCATTCAAGAATAATGCGCAACAGGATATATTAATTAACATTAATCAACAGATTTCCTTTTAAACGTTTTTGAAAATGGTAACATGTCTCGTGACAAATTGATTTCAGAAGTTATTGCAGACCCCTCCTGATTTGATAAACCCATAAAACGGTCAAAACCAAACCCAATTGCATCTAACGGTACCTAAAACAAACGAAAAAGAACGGCAAGATGTAGGCTACAGTTGAAAATGGAGAATGATATAAAGAGTAGATTGCTTTATCGAAAATAAATTAGACCTGATGATTACTATATCTTATCCGCTCACACAATGCCATATGAAATCATGATATCAACTCAAACATCTTTACTTTTGGAGGCCCTTGAAAGCAGAATAGTCTCGTGAGCCTAAATGCATTGACTGTACAGTGATAGATGGAATGGTTTTTCTTCATTTACTTGGAGACCTCACAGCAACATTTGGTGCAATTTCTCATTATATTTTGGTTAAAATATTTTAAGTGTGTCGAGTCAAGAGATCCATGCTGTATTTGACAGAAATTAAAAAACATCGATAAAGGACATAGAGAGAGATAGACGTGCTGGTTCTTTAGATCTAGACCAAGAATACACCACTTCAGGTCCAAACATGAGACTGCCATCATCAAATTACATCAGGATTCAAAAATCTCTTGTGCGGTACATAGGTAACAATTGAATGAGTACTGACTATTTGCCATTGTATGTAACTCTGGATGGAGTGTTATTTTTTACAAATGTAAACGGGTCTCTTTAGTGTAACAAGGATTCTACATTGACATGTATGCACGAAGACGCAGATTCAAGAATGCTTTTTCATATAGCTGCGACAAACCTGCCCAAACATAATATTGTCCGTTCCATAGCAACATATGTTATGATCAATTTACTTGGAAATCCTTGTGTTGGAAATGTGCGGATAGTGATTGGAATACAGTCGCAAAATAATTTGAGATATATTGAGACAATTAGTTCCATCATTACGCAGTGATGTACCAGCTTTTCACTGGTTCACTGACTGTGACTACACTGCTGCATTCTTCAGAATGGGGCAGTTTTGTCCAATAAAGGTCCTTAGGGCAATTCAGAGTCCCAAGAATAATTTTCCAACTTTGGATGCCACCAATATATGAATGACGAAGATATTCCTACAATAGAAAAGTTTGTTTGTTGCACATATGGATTATATCATTTAACAAGTGTACATTAGGCCAGATATAGAAAGTTCTGAAAGGTTTATTAGTCAAACAGAACCTACTCACAGACATTTGACACAAATTTGAATCATATTTCAGTTCGTAGATTTAACTTTTAAGTGATAACAAAATGTGTATTCACCTTGCTGGTGTGGTGGGTTGTGATATTTAAGTAGTCAGATTAGGGATATGCCCCACTGATACTAGTCAGATTTTATATTTTTAGAACCGACTAATACACAGCTAACATTTGACACCAGTTTCAGTCATATTACTTATGAGGCAAATTTTGACCCTATTTGTGGGCGTGGCAGATTAGGCACATTTAAGTGGTCAGATTAGGGGTTTGCCCCAATGAAACCAGTCAGATTTGATATTTTTGGAAGAATCTCACAATTAACTAACATTTGGCACCAATTTCAATCTTATTACTTATGAGGCATTTTTGGGCCCCCGTCCACACTTTTTAGGGCAGTCAGAAAGGGGCGTAGCCCCATTTTTTCCGGTCAGATTTTGCATTTTAATATTCAGATATAGCACCACAACATTTCAAAACTATTTCTGATCGTATTACTTATGATGCAAATTTGGACCTTTTTTGTGGGCGTGGCAGATCGGGCAGATTTTAAGTGGTCAGATTAGGGACGTGCCCCACTGAAACCAGTCAGATTTGATATTTTTAGAATCGGCTCATACATAGCTAACATTTGGCACCAATTTCAACTATATTACTTATGAGGCAAATTTTGGCCCCCGTCGGCACTTTTTAAGCCAGTCAGAAAAGGGCATGGCCCCACTTTTTCCGGTCAGATTTATATTTTTTATATTCATACATTGTATGGCAACATTTTAGAACTAATTCTGATCCTATTACTTATGAGGCAAATTTTAGCCCTTTTTGGCCCTTTTTATCTGCCCTTCCCAGCCAAATGCCCCACTGGAACCTTGTAAGACTGGATGCATTTGCCCTATCAATAGCTGCCAATTAATATGGTCAAACCTTCTATTACTTATGAGGCAGTTTTTTCGTCACTGGCTCTTGGTCTATAAGTAGGTCTTATAATATATGTAATTGATAAGGTCCTAATTTGTAAATCAGAAACTGCCGTCCGTTTTCCGTAGGCCCTGACTTCTAATATACAATCTTTACCGAATAAAATTTTCCTATCTTCGCCCTTCGGGATCATATTCAAGGTCATACAAAACACAACAGCATTTCAAATGTTTTCTAGTTACCCCTCATTGGTCCCCAATCACCACATGAATGTGAAGGTCACACATCGTCAAAGCGTAAACACTTTTACAGGGCCGATTTGTAGACTACCGACAACAACCTGAAGAGTTTCTTTCCGACTAGCCCTTGCGGTGTTTTGGTATTGCATATTTTCTGTAAGTTTTCGAGTCACGCATTATGGCACAAACATCTACAGTTCTCATCGCAGTAGATCCAAGTGAAAATTCTGATTATTGTGTACATTGTAAGTATAAGTTGATCATTAATATTATTATTAGTGTACTGGCTCTAGTGACGTGTGTCCATCCATTACATTCCATCCACATGTACATTTATGCCGTTCCCGCATAATTCATTCATAATATAATCAATCAAATTCCATTGTGGAATTACTTAGTACATAACAATTACTACTTTATAATTTTATAATAATGCTTTATTACGGAACTTCATGGTTATACAGGAGTATGGTAAAGCACACAATATTACAATGAACATTGTCAATAAATTGTAAAGTATTATTTATACAGAGCAATATAATTTATAATGTAGGTACTGCATGATATTGAATTAAATATTTTATCAGGAATCTCGGCAATATAAAATATCCAGTCTGATGTGAATTTTTTATTTTTTTTTTTATTTCTAAAAGTCGAAGGAAATAAAATGATGGATATGCAAGCATTGATAGATAACATGTTTTATGAGTAACTAATTTCATTTGTGAGAGAGAGATCGGGTTTATATCAGTTCACACATATAGGTCATTTTGGGACTAACATATGCTTTAATTTTATTTCAATAATTCGCTTGCGTAGGGGTCTTCGGCTGTGGGAAGAAACCGGAATACCCACAGAAAACCCAGAAGGTTGGACGGGTGACCCTACTTGTCACATATAAGCTTGGAATCAAAACCATGCCACTTGATGCAATTGCAGACCTTATGATCTAAAGGAAATGCATTAAACCATTCGACCACCGTATACCCATTTTCATTTGACTCTTCAGACTGATTACTCACATTGCGTGGTTGTAATAAAATTTCATACTATTCTGAAACCGGGTCTACACTAATGGGATTAAGTTTTACCAGGTTTCACAGGTGTAGGTTCCCCTTCCCCCTCATTCGGTGAAGCGTCATCCTTTTCTCGGGCAATGTAATTCCGCTTTTTGGGAACAAACATGTGAGATGGAGGGTCTCAACAAATTTGAATTGGCTAAATCTGCATAAAAAATTTGGGATTTTAAATTTGGCTTGACTATAACTCGGCGTAAAAGTTGAATTGAAATTACTTGTCTCCAGATATCACACCCCCTAGTACCAGGTGACTTGGTAAGTGTAAATCCCAGTTGCTGAAATCTGGTAAGGGGGGACCATGGGTGTTGAAGACATATATTTCCAGTTTCATCAAAATCAGATAAAAGAAATTGTGACTTCTTGAAGGGAGCGGCCATTTTGTCGGGAAGTTCGGTCCGATTTTCTCAAAATTTGAACTCAGTTTCTTTATAGTGTAACACTGATATATTTAAATGTTTTCTTCAAATCTGATAAAAAATTATGACCGCTCGAGGATCCACAAGCTTAAAACACAATTTTTTGTTCAATCAGGGACCATAATCCAGGAGGATACAGTTTGATATGCGTGAATATAGAAAGGAACCAAAATCTTTGGGATCCATATAAAAAATATACTTTAAGTTTCATCAAAATCTGATAAAAATTGTGACCTAGAATGTCCACAAGCTAAAAACATGATTTTTCGTGCAATCAGGAGCCATAATCCATGACGTTAACATCCGATACATGCCAATATCGAAAGGAATCAAGATCTTTGGGATATAAACCTATGTTTCAAGTTTTGTTAAAATCATATAAAAATTGTGGCCTGTAGAGTGTCCACAAACAAAATGTGAATGGATGGACGGACACAAAATGCTTCTACAGTAGAAATGTGGACGCATAGAAATTAACATGTTAGTCTCAAAATGGCAACAGTTTAATATAGTGCTGGCACAATATATTGTTGAATCAATGTACATTTACCGGTATTGCAATACACTGTGGTGTTATTAACATACATTATGCAAGAGCTAAATCTGCCTATTGCAGGTCTTTCTGAAATGTTTTCTAAATTATTAATTAGACATTAATTAACTTATTCAGGCCATAACCAACTCTTGATGGCATCGGATTTCTCCAATATTAAATCGATTAGGACAGTTCAGCCATATTTTGATTTAAGCTTAAAAGGGAGGAGCGAGACTTAGCTTCGAACAACCAGTACGGTGGTTGAAATTATTGCACACGTCTTGAAAACCTTCAAAGGCTAATATCTTTGCTTGCAATAGAGTAATTTGAATGTAATTTTCAAATTATTTATTTTACATTATCTATATTTGAACTATTATAGCAAGAATGGCTAGCTCTTTATCTAACATAATGTATCTTTAAACAATGCTTGACACTTTATTTCAAATTGTTCTCTAAATTTAACAGATTTCTGGAATATAAATGAAGATGATTCACATATCACTGAAAAACTCTTCAAAAATATCAACAGCATATTTAAGTTCTACTTGCATTAATATACATGTATATTAGTCTATTTAGTTTCAAATTTAGTTTTCTTGTTAAATTTGCAACCCCACCATGAATTGCAATTCGAGCTCATTCCTTTTTATAACAACAATAAAAGGGAAAAAAATATAGTTTTAGTTGTGTTATTTAATATTTTTTTTAGGGTATTTAGAAAGAATACACAAGCAAGGCAATAAAGTTATATTTATCCATGTTCCTGAATACTGGGGTGATATGGCTCGAATGATGAGTAAGTATTTCTCAGTTATATTTGTCTTTATGATGCATTATACAACAGCTAACTCTGCCTATTTTTCATACATGTAGCTATAAATGTTATATAAATTTATTCATGCGACAAGTCCATAATCAAAATTACTTATCTCTGCTACTCAGTCAGCTGGCACAAAAATAAAAGTTGAAGGTGCAGTTGTAAATCGGTTACCGTACTTTTCAATTTGAATACATTATATAAGATGTTAATTCACGTGAATGTTAAAAGGTTAATACTGAATTATTTAAATAGATCATTTTACTATGTCTATGATGATAATATATTTATTGTATGTATACATACCAAAGATATATGTAAACAAATTTTAAAGCTACTGACAGTCTTCTGTATACACTACTCCCTATCATTTCAAATTTGTATTTTAAAGTGGTGGACACACTAGCCGAATGATTTGGCAAAATCTATCAACGCCAAAATTTGCCTAGTGTACCCATTAGTGTGTCCGCTTTGCCTAAGCATTCGCCCGATTGTAGAATTCATTAGCCAATCACGACTCATAGCGAGAAGTCACATAATTGTTTGAAGACATGGTCGCTGCCATGTTTAATATGTGACATGAAAGGTGATGCAGTAGAGTGGTGAATCAGGCGAAGGATTCACCCAGTGAGTCCACTCATTTTGCCGAATCTCATTCTGCTGCAATTCTTTGCCGATTGATTCGGCTAGTGCGTGCAGTCTAGGAGGCCGTAGTTTATTGTAAATATAGCTAGATCTCACCATAGATATCATTAATAATTATAAATAAATACAAATTTAGATAAAAAATAAAATCCTCTTTAAATAAAATTTTATTCATTTTTGTGGTAATGTACATTGTGTGTTAGTTAAGAAGGTTCACATATCTGAAACTAACAGGCAAATATTCAACAGCATGTCCTAAATTGTGTAGTAACCTACTTATACTTGTTATCTTTTATTTAAGCTAAGAAACTGTTTGTGAGGGTATTGAACTAGTAATAATAAGTGTATTGTAAACATCCTCTTGAGATCTGGTAAATACTCATTACAGATAAAGTTACGTTAACTGAAATGTTATGGAAAATACCTGCTTTTAACTATGGTACTAAAATACGTATTTTGCAATTTCAAATATTACAATAGAATAAATATGAGGCAGTCATTAAAACAAAAAAGTACCTTAATTCGTAGTGTAAGTAAGTAAAGCATATTTATAGTCAAAAATATTGTAACCTAAATAGTATACTGTTATTCTCTCTGAATTACAACCTTCCATCTAGATGTAAGTACAGGCAAATGCTAAAAACTTCTGGCTCGCTAGCCTGGAGGTCGCGTTTGGATCCCTGCATTGGCAGAGAAAGTTCATCAGGATTTTCAGATGTGGTTTCCTCTTGTCCGTGGTGCAGTAGTGCGGGCCTGACAAGCACAGCGGTCTAGTAGTTCGGATGTGACAAAAAAACGAGGTCCTGTGTATACATTGGTGTGCACGTAAAAGAAGCCTTGGCAGTTGGTTTTCGATATAAGGGTAAGCCAAAGTGCTGGTGCCCGGGCAAAATTTCCTTAATAGCACACTGTATGACGTATGCCCATCTTCATTAGCAAGTATAGGAGCAGAACAGTAGGACGTTAAACCCCATTTCATTTCTTTGTTTAAGACTGAGTCCATCCATTCTCACTTTCACTCTATGGTGTAACCCTGAATATGACATGAACTATTGTTGTTTTTCAACATTTGTGTTTGCGTCCAATACCTGTACATGGTTTTATCTAAGACATCAGATCAATGCAGGTATTCAAATTAGACCAACCAATAATCCGTGTATGCCTTTGAATTGTCCTTGCAATGCTCTACATCCCAGTAAAAACAGATATGTTTACTTCCATCTTACTAGGGTTCTTCTTTAGAAGTAGCCAAGCAATCCCACAAGTTTCCCTCTTAAAAATCTCCAACATTGACTAGTAAAGCATTTACAAGATTTAGGAGACAGGAGCAATAAATCTGTGTAAAACTAAATAATTCCAGAAAATTTGATGAAAAACCCTCAAAACCTGTGACGAAATCACTGACTTAAATTCACATCCTCCAATTAAAATCATGCATTGACTGAGTAAGTTCATCCAGATTTTCTGCCGTGGTTTCCCCTTGTCAGTGATGCAGGACGGAGGGCCTGACAAGGACAGCTGTCTAGTCATTCGGATGGGACGAAAAACCGAGGTCGGGTGTACAAATTGGCGTGCACGTAAAAGATCCCTTGGCAGTTGGAATTCGATAGAAGAGTAGGCCGTAGCGCCGCTGCCCGGGCAAAATTTCCCTCATAGCACAAATGTATGGTGTATGCCTGTCTTCATTAGCCCAGTTTAGGAGCAAAACAGTAGGACGTTAAACCCCATTTCATTTCATTTCCATTCAAGGTGAAAAACTGACAGATTTAAGGCTAATAAATAAACTTGATTAGTAATTCAGATGTTTCCTTTTTTTTACACCCACATTGAAATGTGGTCGTATATTGTTGTCGCCCCCGTCCGTCCGGCGGTCTGTCGTCCACAATTGCTTGTGGACGCTCTATAGGCTAAAGTCAATATCCAATTGACTTTAAATTTATTCACAGTGTTTAAGGTCATGAGAGGAAGAAGCCTATTGATTTTCAGCGATTTCCGATATTTACTGCCAAAGTTATGGCCCTTGATCACTTTGAAAAATCTTGTGGATGCTCTAGAGGTTAAAGATAATATCCGATTGACTTTAAATGAATACTCAGTGTTTAAGGTCTTGAGACGAACAAGTATATTGATTTTCAATGAATCTTTATGACTTGAACAGCTAAATCAATGATGTTAAAAGTTTCGTATATATTAAAAGTTCGAAGTGTATATTTTGCCGTCCGACGGTTAATTACTTTATTTACTATTTAGCCGTACTTCCGTTCGACATGCGCAGTTGTCGATTCCTGATATATTCCACCATTTTGGAACATTAAAAACAACTCGTCTTTCAAGTTCGGTGCAGAAGCACGATTTTACGGGAAAAACATAAACCACTGACAGTCTAAGTACTTAAATTAAGACCAAAATCCGCAGAAATGCGCCCTCGACCGAAATAGAATAATATTCTAAATGCTTTTCTACAATTTACATTTATTATCTTATTTTCTTTTAAGAATAATTCTCCAGTTTCTACCATCAGAAATTAAGTATGGCTATTTGCTTCCTTATAAGAAACGGAGAAAGAAGCAATGTTAGACAAAGGACGAATAGAACTGTCTGGTGGTTTAGTGTTAGGGTTAGGTTTAGGTTAATGTTAGATGGTAAAATAGCCCACGAACTCAACGTGACAGGTAAATAAAGTAAAGGGTAAGTGACAGGTAAATAAAGTAAAGGGTAAATAAAGTAAAGAACCGGCAAAATATACACTGCGTTAAAAGTTAGCATGGGGCTAACCGAATAAAGAATAAAGAACCGAATAAAGAACCGGCAAAATATACACTGCCGAATAAAGAACCGGCAAAATATACACTGCGTTAAAAGTTAGCATGGGGCTAACCGAAAAAAGTAAAAATATGTGACGAAAAAAGTAAAAATATGTGACGTCTCTTGTTGACTGCCCAACAAGAGACTGCCCGGACGATATAGCTGCTGTGGGCGTATGTTACGTTGCCTGGCAACCTATCTTTTAAACATACATCATGCAAGAGCTAAATCTACCTATTGCAGGTCTTTCTTTACGCCTGAAATGTTATCTAAATTATTAATTAGAAATTAATTAACTTATCCAGACCATAATCAACTCTCGGTGTCAAAGCTAGCCTGCGATGTTTGCTGCTCCACTTTCATTCTTGATTTAATCATGAAATGGATACTCGAAACTGTACCGTACCAACTTTAGTAATGATGATCGAGGCTAGGCCGAAAATTCAATTGCTAAATACTCGCTTCAGGGTGGATCAGTTTGACAGAAATTTTCAGCAAATTCCCTTTACATTATCTAGTTTGTAACTATTATAGTGAGAAGTGCCAGCTCTTTATCTAATCTCCCATTATGTATCTTTTAGGTCCTCACAGATTAGAAGAACTGTGGAAAGAATCACAATATAAAGCAAAACAATTACAAGAAACATATACAAAACTTGCGACTACTTCTGGTCTGGTAAGTATATCAGTAGAAACACAAACATCTTATTGTTAATATTTCAAAACTTACTTACAAATGTAGTTTCATTTACAGACTATGAAACTTCAGTAAATTAAAGGGAAATTGTTAGAATTCATTTCTTCCATTTTGTTCTGCATGACAACCGACATCTTAAAAAAAAAAACAGAAAAAAACCAAACTTTTTCATTAACACCTTATTCACATATTTTTTTTCTTTCCATTAATTATAAAATTCTGTAAGTCAAATCTTTTTTTTTTCAGACTTCTGTGGAATTTCTTATTGAAGAGGGTAATGAGCCATGGGATATTATTGTAAAAGCTGCAAAAACTAATAAAGCAGATTTGATTGTTATGGGTTCCAGGGGCATGGGAACCATACGACGTACCTTGGTAGGAAGTGTTAGTGATAGTGTCCTTCATCATTCACATATCCCTGTTATGATTGTTCATAAACCTAAACACTAAATTGAGTTGTGATGTTATTCTTAGGTTAAGGCAGATCCACCATATATACTCGTATATATACACTTTTATTGATCTATAATGGATTTAGTATATTGCATATTTACACATGTTACATCACACTTTGAATTATCATAATATAGTTCATTTATTGACCAATTATCTTCATTATTGTGCACCAAATATTTATATTATTTTAAACCTTTTATTAGCATAACTTTAAGTGTTTAATATATGTTTAAATTTTAATAAATGTTTTAATTTTAATAAAAATTAGTAAGGAAACAACTTTTTTATAATGGTACTTTTCAAGAGATCTGGAAATGTGTAAATCAAATACACAGTAAATCAGAGACATGTTTAGATATTAGTTTATTATTAGTCTTCATCAGAAGATTCAAAATCAAAGTTCATAATATGAGTTGGATAAATATCTTCTTAATGGCTGATCAACAGCTCTTGCACACACGCACACCTGCAATCATAGGCGTACGGGGAAATTTTTGACTGGGGGGGCGGTGGTGGTTGGTGCCCAAAAAATGTAGTTAGGTTCTTAGTATGTTACATAATAATAATAAATTCGCTGTAAATTGGACACATTCAAGAACACAATATCTTTTTTTTATACAACTTTTACAAAATACAATTGTGTGCCCAAATTTTCCCAGCATTTGGTGCCCAAAATGGGGGGGCGGCCGCCCCCTGCCCCCCCCCCCCCCCAGCTTGTACGCCTATGCCTGCAATCCCACACCCCACGAATCATAACAGTTGACCAGAGCATTATATACACCTATTTAGAGATGGACAGTCCTAGAAATTTGTTTTATTTATATATAATATGACCATCTTTTATGTCAACATATCACATTTCCCCCCAATTGTAGACTTTGGACCCCCCATATCTCGAAAACGCCCCCTTAAACGCCTGATCACCACACAGATTCAGAATCTATGCAAAAAACTGGTCTATGTTCTTAGTGTTTAACGTTCGCTTCCATCGAAAGTGATATCGCAGACAAGTTGTCATTTTTTTATTGTCCCCCGCCTTTCGAAGAAAGCAGGGGACTTTTAAAATGGGTTCGTCCGTCTGTCTGTCTGTCTGTCCGTCACACTTTTTGGGACACAATAACTCTCCTTCTAATTGACCTAGAATGTTCAAACTTGGTGTAGGTGTTTATTAGGTCAATGCCTTGATGGAGTTCGAAGATGAGTATTTTCTGCTTATTGGGACACAATAACTTTAGTTCTAATTAAGTGAGAGTGATGAAACTTGGTGTATAGTTTCATTACATCAATACCTTGACATGTTCGATAATGAGCATTTGTATCCCCCGTGCCCTGGAATGGCTATGTTTTGTACATACGAAAAAGCATTTGTTTGAATTGAAATGGTCATTTATTTGCCTCATGATAATGAGCATTTTCTGCTTAGGGTAAGCAGAGCGATATGCAATTTGATTGGCCGAGACTTTGGAACACAATAACTCTCCTATTTGAGTTACCGTCTTCATTAGCCCAGTTTAGGAGCAGAACAGTAGGACGTTAAACCCCCATTTCATTTCTAATTGAGCTAGAATGTTCAAACTTGGGGTAGGTGTTTTTTAGGTCAATGCCTTGATGGAGTGTGAAGATGAGCATTTTCTGCTTAGAGTAAGTAGAGATAACCAATTTGATTGGTTGATGCTTTGGGACACGATAACTTTAGTTCCAATTAAGTGACAGTGATGAAACTTGGTGTATAGTTTCATTACATCAATACCCTGACTAAGTTCGATGATGAGCATTTTCTACTTAGGGTAAGCAGAGCAATAAGCAATTTGATTGGCTGAGACTTTGGAACACAATAACTCTCCATCTAATGAGCTACAATGTACAAAGTTGGTGTAGGTGCTTATGAGGTCAATGCCTTGATGGATTGCGAAGATGAGCATTTTTATATGGCCACATTTTCATGTGAACGTATATTGTCGTCGCCCCTGTCTGTCCTTCCGGACCTCCGTCCGTCCGTCCACAATTGTTTGTGAACAGTCTACAGGTCACAATTTTTATCCGATTTCAATGAAACTTGAAATATAGGTTTGTCACCCTAAGATCTCGATTCCTTTCGATATTGGCATGTATCAGACCGTAACTTCATGGATTATGGCCCCTGATTGCACGAAAAATCACGTTTTTAGCTTGTGAACACTGTAGAGGTCACAATTTTTATCCAATTTGGTTTAAACTTGAAATGTATGCTTATAACCCAAAGATCTCGGTTCCTTTCGATATTCGTGCATATCGGAACGTAACTTCCCGAATTATGGCCCCTGATTGTACGAAAAATCGCGTATTAAGCTTGTGGACTCTATAGAGGTCATAATTTTTATCCGATTTAAAAAAACAGTATTATTATATCACCGTTACACCCTAAGGACGACTGAGTTCGAATTTCGTGAAAATCGGCCCAAAACTGACAGACAAAATGGCGTAAAAATATGGTATATCAAGGTTGTGGACCCTATAGAGGTCACAATTTTTATCCGATTTTGTTGAAACTTGAAATGTAAGTTTATAACCCAAAGATCTCGGTTCCTTTCGTTATTCGCGCATATCGGAACGTAAATTCCTGAATTATGGCCCCTGATTGTACGAAAAATTGCATTTTTAGCTTGTGGACCCTATAGAGGTCATGATTTTTACCCGATTTAAAAAAACGTATTATTATATCACCATTACACCCTAAGGACAGCTGAGTTCGAATTTCGTGAAAATCGGCCCAAAACTGACAGACAAAATTGCCGCCCCTCGTTCTCAAATTGCGTAAAAATATGGTATATCAAGGTTGTGGACCCAATAGAGGTCACAATTTTTATCCGATTTTGTTGAAACTTGAATGTAATTTTATAACCCAAAGATCTCGGTCCTTTTGATATTTGCGCATATCGAATTGTAATTTCCTGAATTATGGCCCTTGATTGTAGGAAAAATCCCTTTCGTTTTAGCTTGTTTTCTATCCATCTCTCGAAAATGTGGGCGCATCCTGCCTGGCAGCCGCTGGTCTGCTTAGGGTAAGCAGAGATAAGTAATTTGATTGGTTGATGCTTTGGGACACAATTACTTTAGTTCTAATTAAGTAAGAGTGATGAAACTTGGTGTATAGTTTCATTACATCAATACCTTGATTAAGTTCGATGATGAGAATTTTCTGCTTAGGCTACGGAGCAATAAGCATTTTGATTGGTCAAGCCTTTGGAACATAACAACTCTGCTTCTAATTGAGGTAGTATGTTTAAAGGGCCAAACCTGATAATATTTTGGAGAATAAAAATGTTTCATTTTGTGTTAAAATCCCTTAAAATCCTCTACCTAAGAGCCGAGCAACTAACTCCATATTTTTCATACGTTTTCAAACAACTTAAACCCACCAGTCTTCATCTGGAAATGGAAACCAGTGTCCAAACTGTATTATATGGTGTCTGGATAAAACCAGACTTTTATTTTATAAAAATAATGTGTAGGTGAAATTTACCCTTCGTTATGAAGTACAGCACTTGGGTCATTCACTGTATAGACCTCTAAAGAAACGAGAATCGATTATCAGGTCGCCCAACGAAAAAATTGACCCAAAATCTTAAAAGGGTTACGTGTCCGGATAAGCATTTTTGACTTTCATGTCCAAACGACTCAATATTTTGAGCTGAAATTTTGAGACAAGGTAAATACAACATTTCTCTATATTTTGGCAATTTGATGTAATCGTTTCGGAAATCGGTGTCGATAAATTTGTTGGATTAGGGTAACCAATTTGAATTAGATTGACGTTAAAGATGAAAATTTGATTGAATGCAAATCACTTTGGCCAATCAGTGGTCGATAAAAACGCCTTTAGTGTATAGTTGATTATCAGTTTGATTGCTTGATACTTTTGAAAAAAATAGATGTGCGATTAATTAACATGTGTCATCTATTTATTTGAAGATTTCGGGGGGACATCAGCCTCACTGTTGGCTTGTTTTCATTATCTTGGTGCACGCGCAGTGGTCTTTCCTGTGGGAGGAAACCGGAGCAAACCAACGAGGTTGAGAAAGCGCCCATATCTCCAAGCCAGATACACACACACCAGGGATCGAAACCACAACCGCAAGCCGGCCAGCTAGAGATCGAAGCGTGACACTCTAGACCACTAGGCCATCCCAACCCCCCAAACGGGTCTAGAAAAACTTGGTCACATCTCGGGTGGCGATTACCCATTATCTGTGGACCACCCAGATAATGGGAGATTAAAGAGCTGGTAGTTCTCGCTATAATAGTTAAAAACTAGATAATGTAAAGGGAGGTGGCCAGCTAGAGGTCAAACTCGAAGCGTGACACTCTAGACCACTAGGCCATCCCAACCCCCCAAACAGGTCTAGAAAAACTTGGTCACATCTGGGGTGGCGATTCCCCATTATCTGTGGACCACCCAGATAATGGGAGATTAAAGAGCTGGTAGTTCTCACTATAATAGTTAAAAACTAGATAATGTAAAGGAAATTTGCTGAATATTTCAGTCAAATTGATCCACCCTGAACGAGTATTGTATTAATATTGTAGAATTTTCGCTCTTGAAATTAATGGTGGCATTATATTTCATTAATTAATATACTCAGCCAATTTAAAAACTTGACACTCAGGATTTTTGGGACTAGATTTTTAATATTTGGTTTAAGGCAACTATTTTAGTGTTATGTTGTGCACAGACGACCTTGACATCAACAGAAAGCAAGAATACGTCTCACGCCGAAAGTCCTTGACATTGATAACATTTGTGATGTCACAGTACCCCCCAAAATGAAATTCACAGACTTGGAGACGATCGAAATAAAGTGTTTAGTAACGGTTGTGGCCTCCTCTAGCGTCTCGTACTGCCACACAACGTCTTCTCATGGATCTCAGAACATTAGTAAACACTACCCGAGGAAGACGTCGCCACTGCTCAGCAAGAGCATGTTGAAGGTCCTGCAACGTCAGTGGTGGATTCACTTGCTGACGAACACGTCGACCCAGTTCGTCCCAGATGTGTTCAATAGGATTAAGGTCGGGGCTAAGCGACGGCCAATCCAGGACTTGGATACCGGCATTTGTTAAAAAATACTGGGTAATAATTGCTGTATGGGGTCGAGCATTGTCTTGTTGAAACGTTAGTCCAGGCCCATGTCTCTGCATAAACGGAAGAAGAACAGGTTGCAAAATCTGATCCCTGTACTGGACAACAACAAGAGGAGAACCCCAAACCATGACTCTGCCGCCACCAAATCGGTCA